GGGTTTTTTTGTTTTTTTTTTTTTTTTGTGTGGGGGGGGGGGGGGGGGGGGGGGGGGGGGTTGTTTCTTTGTTGTGGGTTTGTGAGGGTTTTTGGAGGGGGGGGTTTCTTGGTTCTGGTTGTTTTTTGTTTGGTTTGTTTTTGTTCCTCAGTACAAACAACTGCTTCCAAGCACACAAAGCACAAGCCCTGAGCCAGACAGCCCCCAGCAGTACCATGCAAGGTGGTACCGACTCAAGAGGTTATCATTGAGGAATTATCACTGAGCCACGAGCAGCTGGAGGAGAGCAGCTATTGTCAGTCAGTCTCTGACCTGGTGAATTTGAAACCTGTGAGCTAAAGTGAAAAGACTCTGTTCTAGCACAATGTCTCTCTTTTGGCTTGCTGCTAATCACACTCACAGCCCCTTTCTGTGCCCTGGCTCTCAGAGAGCTGTGGGGATCGAACATTTTCTTCTTTGCAAAAGGTTTTGGGCATTGCTGATGCCCTCAGGACACCAAAGTGTTGGCAGCCTCTTGCTGTTGCTGGCAAGCCTTCAGGTGTGTTTAAATCCAAAGGGTAACCTGCATTTCCCTAGTGGAGGAATAACTCCTGTCCACGTGTTGCAGCCATGCTTGGACACAAACGCCTCAAGTATGAGATCCTCAGGGAGGACACAATTCTGGGGATGTATGAGGGCCACTCTCAAGCAAACCTGCACCAGGTCCATGAAAGAACTGGCAGAAAGGGGCACAGTAGAAGCCAAATGGTGCCCAGAAAACTGGTACAACGCTTATGAGAGCTAGGAAAGGTGTGTACAACCATCAGGATTTCCCTGCCTATGTCCAGACTAAACCTGCACCTACTGTCTTGTCTTGGGTGACTCTGATTTTCTGTGTCCCAGAAGTTGTCTGTAAAGTTCCTGTTTTCAGGGACACTTCCTAGCTTGTGCAAATGGTATCAGGTTGATAGATTAGTAGATCAGTACTGTGTCTTCCTGTCTCTTTCCATCCATCCGTGAATGTTCTGTTACTACTTCTCTGTTGATTTTTTCTTCTATTTATCTGCTTCATCTTATTACAATTAATTTATAACACTTTTTACATTCATGTTTACCACCTCTGAAAATGGCAGGACTTCATTATTTCCCTTTAAGACTATTTTCCTCCCCCTTGTTGTGATAATGTTCATGCATCTTTTCTCATCCTTCTCTCAAGCATTGTCTTCAGACATGTCTTTGTAACAAAATGTGTTTTCCACGGAAAGCATTCCAGCGTACATGGACATTGCTCTGTACAGTGATGTGAGCTTGCCTTCCCTCCTGCCGTTCAAAGTTTGAAAGAGCAAAAGTCAGTGTTCTCTCACTGGTTGTCTGCCTTGGCTGCCTGCTCTCTGCCAGTGTGGTGTCCCTCCTGTCACGATGACCTGCTGCATTTTCCACTCCCTTCTTGCCAGTTTTCCAGAGGAGATGAGTTTGAAAAGATGTGCTTGAAATGCAAGGAAAACTCTAGCAATGTGGCAATGCCCTGAAGGGATTAAGGAAGGAGGAACACTTTGGAGATCAAGTTAGAGGGAATTATGAAAGTACCAGTGGAAAGCACATGAGGTTTCTGTCTGATAACACTCACGACAAGAGAGTTCCCCAGAATGGAATTACTTAAAGTTCTAGTGCACTAATAAACTGACTGTTGCCTCTCACCTCTGAGGTGTGCATATTCTGGCTCTGCCAGTCTCACCACACTGCCTGATTTCTGCCTTTCCAAGTGTACTGCTAAAGTCAGAGAGCAACACACTTCCTGAGTGTTTGTCAGTGGGACAAAGCTGCAATAAAGCCTGAACACACCCAAATGTTTTTCCTTGACAATGTCAGGTTTGCCATGTGGTATCTGCCATTCTCCTTCTTTCATCTTCTCTGTCCTGGTACTCTAGAGTCTAAAAATACCACCTTCACAGCTGCCAAAGCAGTTAAATCTCTGTGCATGTTTCTTCTGTTTCCTTTACTCACCCCTTTTGCTTTCCTTCTGGATTATCTCTTGTGCTCATTTTGTATTTCTTGTATCTAAGTTCAAACATCTCGAAAATCCCTGCATAGGATATGCTTTTAGCAGATTTTTTTTTTTTTTTTTTTTTTTTTGGTAACTTACAGTGCGCTGTTCTCCTTGATGACAAAGCAGCACAGGCAGGAGCCAGCTCCAGGGCTGCCTGCCTGTGCCATGATTCAGCAGGTTGTAAAAGGAAGGAATGTTTTCTTTTTTGGGAAAGGATGGGAGAGAAAGGGGAATCACGTGTGTGTGTGTGTATTTGACTTTCTGGTGCTTCTGTGATTTCAGCAGGAGTATTATGCTGTCCTGCAGTCATGTTGCAATTAATAACCTGTTTCAAAATAAAGGCATGAAAGATATTTGGTGGAAAAATGGATTTGCCTAGATTGAGGAGGGCACTTGCTAAATTTGTTACTCTTTAAAGTATTTTTCCATAGTGTTTTTAGGTTCTTCTTTAGGCATTTGATATCTCCTGTGCTGCCTGTTTGCGACTGTTTCCCTGCCTGTCTGCATCTTCTGCTCAGTCCGGGTATAGCTCATCAGAGCAGTTTAGGAGCCAGCTTGGTGTCTTTCTGGAAAAATGTGTTTGATTCCAAACTTCAGTGCAAGCAGGGATTTGCTGATTTCATTTATGCTGAGCCTTATTTCTGAATGCTGGGGCCCTGCTTGCTTTGTCCTAACACGGTGGAATTTTCTCTGTGGGGAAACTTATACTGCTGACTCATTGCATCAACTCAAAACAGATTTATGTTTACAAAGGCAAAAAACCACCACCCTTTTCTTTCTTACTTTTCCCTAGTAATATGGGATTTGTTATTCCTACAGAATACCTGCTATCTCCTGGAACAGGCTGCAGCCCACAGACCACATAGGAGCTCGCTTTGAGCTGGGTGGCTCAGACACAGCTTTCTGTGGAACTGCTCTCAGCTGGTGCACCCAGAGACAACACAAAGGTGCTGTAACTTCCAGGCTACCAGAGCCTGCTTTCCTCACCGTGGGGCTGTGTTCCCTGCCCTCGCACAGGGCTGTGTGCGCGGCAGGACACGGAGACTCCTCAAGTTTAATCTCGACCTTGTTGACATGTTCCCATCACACCCGGCATCTCCTTCAGCCTGTCTGTCCCATCGGCCCACCAAGGACACTTCTTTCTGTATTTCCCTGTGTTTCTTTATTCATTTGATGTACAAACGTTCAACATTTACACAATATTTCACCTCTACAAAACGACGTTACTTTCATTTTCAAAATACAGCACAGGTTAAAGGTTCCGGAATTGCACAAGGCCTCTGGGCAAGCAGCTGCCGGGCAGCACTGCCATGTTCCAAACACACTGGAGTGTCACTGTTCACTATTTTATTAAACCCTCGGCTTGTTATTGAGGGAAAGAACCACGGCCTACACCGAATTTGCTGAATAGGCAAGAAAACCTGAGCACCCTTTCTAAGGAACGAGAAGATGGCTCTGCCGTTTAACACAGCGGGATTTTATGGGCCGGAGGGTGAGGGGCGTGAGGGGATGGGGGGGGCGCGGGGAGGGCGTGAGGGGCTGGCCCCGCCCCCTGCCGCCCCTTACCGCCCCCTACCGCCCGCAGCGCCCTGTCAGCCTCCGCAGCGCCCCTGGACCGAGACCCGTTGCGACCCCGCCCACATCCCAACGGCCTGCCCGCAACCACCCAATCAGCGGGCACTTCCTGCAACCCCGTCGACCAATGACAGCGCTCCACGAAGGGCAGCGCCGTTGGGGGCGTGTTTAGAGGCGGGCCGGCTTTTGAGAGGCGATGCTATCAGCCAATCAGAGCGCAAAACCGGCGGCTGGGCGGGCGGACGGGCGCGCTGTCCGCCAATGAGAGAGGCTGAGCGCCGTGAGGCGGGGGTGGGGCTGGCGCGCGGCAGATAGGCGGGCGGCGGCGGGCGCGCGGGCACGTGACGGAGGTGAGGGGAGCCCGGCGGCGGTGGCCGGGGCGGCGGAGGGTGAGTGTGTCTGTCCGTCTGTGCCCTTCCTTCACAGCCGCTGCGGCTCCGGAACATCGCGGCGGGGGAAGCGGGAACGGACTCGCCCGCGGCGTGAGGCGGTGGGGGGGCCCGGCCTGTCGTGGGGCGTGCGGCGGGGCGCTGCTGGGCCCTGGGGGTGGGCGGCCCGTGCGTGGTCCCGGCCCCATCCCGGGGGTGGGAGGAGGCGGGGACCCCCCGGAGTCGGGGCGAGAGGGACGGCCTGGGGAGGCCCCTGAGGCCGGGGGCGGGCGCGGGGCTGCGGCGGCGGCGCCGGGTCCCGCCCGGCACCCGCAGGGCTCGGAGCGGCCTGGGGGAGCGGCGGCTCTTCTGGTAAGTTCTGGGAGCGCCGCTCCGGGCAGCGGCTGGCGCTAGGGCCGCGTGGTGGAACCGGGAAGGGAGGCGAGGGTCGCACGTAGATGTGGGCAGCGCGTGGTGTAGGTTTTATCTGGCTACGTGTTCCGTGTCGGAAATAATCTTGAACGTGCTCCCCGTGAAGCCCCGCAAAAGGAGATCAGGAGGGGGTGCAGAGCATGGCGTGGGCCCGGTTGGGGCTGTGCGAGGGGAAGGAGAAGCCTCTGGAAGGGGGGAGCTCATGGCGCGGAGCTGGAGTCCCAACAGGTGAAGTGCAGGCGAGGAATCTGCAGCAGGAAGATCTGAGAATTTAAAGGAATTGAAATGACTGCTTTGATTTTTGTCCCCCAAATATCGTTCGCATTGGGTGTCTTTAAAACAGTGTATAAATGACATCTCATTTGTCATTTCTGGCTGAGGATTGTATTGTATGCTTTTAAAAGAAGAAAAACCCCACACCTTTGAATTAAAGCGTGTACAGCACGCTGCTTTCTTATCTGTACTGATTCTAAAGTGTGAACTTTCATATCCAGGTTTGTGGTTCAGAACTTTCTAGGCTGCAGAAAGAGAAATGCTGCAGGTGATTTGGTTGTGAAGGGAAATGGGCATGTGTTAATGGCAGTAGTAATGGTAAAGGTCCAGACCTCAAGATGATCAGTGTTGACATAATTAATGCTGCAGAGCTTCTGCAGATCATCGTGGAAAACTGTTTCTGGAACTTATTTAGAGTATGTTAGATGTCTGAAAACTGGTCTCTAGGCATGTAATGTATTTCTAAATGTAGTGTGTTGACTTCACGTCGTCAAGTAAGCATAGTTATCACATGGGTTTTAGGGGACAGTCTTGCACGTTGTGATTTTGGTTGTTGCTAAAGTACTGCAAAGAGATAGCAGAGCTATAATAATGTATGAGCTAATGCAGATAAAATAATGGTTAAATATAGGTTGGTATATATATTACTCTAGGTTCACACTGCAGTACCTGACTTCAAAGACTGCTTTGTTCTTAATTTGACTGCATTTGATGGGCTTATGCAAAACACTTAATAAAATTAGGAAAAGGTCTGAGTAAAACTTTGTGTTTGTATTAACTTCTAGTATTTCTAGTTAAAAAAAAAAAAAACATTATGAAGAAGATACTTGTACAATTTACAGGCAGCATCACAAGCTGTGTATGATATGTAAATGCTTTTTGGGGTCAACTGCCCTCCTAGGAAGGGATTCTAGTGTAAAATAGTAAGAAAGTTTTGAAATTTCATCAGATTACCCCCTCATTTGGTGTGCTGTAGCACTACCCCCTGAGTAAATTAATAAATCCTTTACAGAGAATGCACTGGGACTTGTACTTAGCTCTGTTTTCTGCTTCCTTTTCTGGCCTTTGATTTTCTGCTTCTGGTAGTAATCATGGTGGCAGCGTGTTCTTGCTGGAATCAGTTCTGTAGCAGAGCAAACTTGAATTGATTTCTAGGGGTGATGGTCTCAAAGATCTTGGGGTCCCTCCAGATCTGCCCCCACTAATATAATTTTCCTAGCAGCCCATCTGTTTTTTGAGGTCAAAAAGCCTCATGGTTCTGCCTTACCCTCCAAGGACTTCCAGTTCTGCAGGAAGGATATCTGTGCTGACAAACAGTATCTGCTTTTTGCTTCTGTACTGTATCTGCACTGTTGTACATTATTTTTAGAAACTGGCATATTTGAAATGCCTATTAAAAGCAAGCTTTGTTGCTGTCCCTTTTCACACCTAATCCCTTGCCTGGTTTGTGCTCTCTACAACCCAAACAGGAGGCAGCTTTTTTTGTGGGGCTCTCCAAGAGAGGTTTGGCTAATCCTTTCCGGGAGACTTCTTCCTCATGTATATCTCAGCCACTCCTTACTGAAGGAAAAAAAAAAAAAGGGTGTAGGAGGGTAAGCCACCACCATGGAGAGTTCTTGCCTCTCTTCTTTTCTTTGTAAGGTGGTTTTCTTTAGCCTTGTCTGCTATTCATTGAGTTAGGATGTTAAAGGCAGAATCTTCACAATACTGGAAGCTGTCCAGCAGAAAAACAGTATTTCAGAGGAAAAAGGGTTGTCTGCATTATGTGAGTTGTTGTGTATACATGAACATAATTTTATTATATCCCCTTTCGAGGGGTGCTGAGGCACTGTACTGGTTGTTGAAATTACAGTATTTGGCCTCACTGTTTTTAGCTTCACCATGGTGTCCATCCCCCAAATCTGTCTAAAGACAGATCAGGCAGGTGCAGGTGACAGACTGCACAGTCCTACCACTTGAAACTGTGGTATTGAGCTGGCTCTGCTGCCAACAGTTTTATTTCCTCTATCCTTGGCTACTTACTTTCACTGGTACTGCTGCAACTCTTTTTGCTTTTGCTGCTGGGTTGGCCTGGGCTATTGATTCAGGGTTAAAATAACATGGCAGAAGGACTTCGAGCCATCTTAAACCAGCGGCTGGTTCATCATGAGGCTGTGTAAACAGTTACCCTGGCACCGCAGAGGAGGCAGGATGTGGAAGGCAGAGGGATTGTGAGATGTAGAAGAGATTTCCTCTGCTCTTCAGTAGTTCTGACTTTAGGAAATTAGTGCACTACCAAGTAGGGTAACTGAGCCTTTGCTCAAAACCCACAGAACTCTCATTTGAGAGGGAAAATGTATATCTCTGTCTCAGCCTTTCTGTTCTTGTCTCCTTGCAATTTTTTTTGTGTTGTGATGAATCATCTTTATGTTTGACTTTAAATTTTTCTTCCTTAATTCTTGCCTTGCATGAGGCATTGTGCTTGTTTTCACTGGCGTGCTTCTGCTGTGACACAACACTGAAAGCCAGTGTTGGGAGCACAGGGCTGTGCTAGCGGGTTTTGTTCTTCCTTTGCTTAAGTCGCTCAGCTGAGACTTCAGGTGCTGCTGAAAGAGAAACCATTGATGCTCATCAGGTTAAATTGCATAGGTGTTTGTAATAAGTGTCTTATTTTCATAGGATCTATTTAGTATGACTCTTTAATTATTTTTTTAAAAGAGCAAGTAGTAAACCAGATAGCCAGTAGCCATTCAAATGTAGTTATATATTCTGAAATATGCTGTATTAAGAACTGGCTTGATGAACCACTGAAATAGATTAGTAACCAAGGAGATGATTAAACTGGTTTTGCAGGCTCTGTTTGACCTGACAGGGGAGTTACTAAACAGTATGTTCTGGAAGAATGATAGCAGGGGACTTGAAGATCCTCTCTATGGGCAATTTCACTCTCTTCCAGGGGACATGTATGTTAGGGACAGTAGTGACAACTGTCTGTTGTATGAGTGCTTCCAGTGTTGTACCAATAATAAAAATGCACTTTCTCCGTTATGCCCAGAAAAAGGGGAATTCTAAATAAAAATTAATCTTTGAAGATGCATGACTTTCTTGAAAGCTTTGAACTCCAAAGGTAGCAGTCACTTAGTCCTACATGGTAGGAGTTGTACTGTTGGGGTAAGATCCTGATTCTGTTTCTGAATCCCACTCCAATTTGGTTTTGATTTTACTTTGTGAAAAAGTAAAGTCTGTAGTGCAGATGTTCCAGGAGATTATTTCCAGCACTCTGCTATAGATCTTACAAATACTGGGGTAAAATGTTTCAACCTTTTGGCAATCAGGTGCACAGTGCTTAAGTGTCAGCTCTGAAGTTTTCTGGGGTAGAAGCTGGCCATGGGTGTGTGCAGAGAGAACAAGTAATCTGTAGCACTGACAGTCTCAAACTTTGAGATTGCAGTAGTTTCCCCTTCAATCTGAGTGGTGTGCCAATGTCTGTAAGTGACTGAAGACCTTATTAAAAAAAAAAAAAAGTACATGGAGTTGTTATCTCTGACTTGAAACGTTGTTATGGTGAAAGTGATGGTTACACTGAAGTAGAATTGAGACGTCAGAAGCTCTCACCTATTATGGAAGTGTTCCTTTGTTAATGGCTTTTGGCAATTGCATGATCAGAAATACACCAACCTTCAGAAATACTGCACAGTTTAACCTGAAGAAGGGAGGTGCAGGCAGAGTAAAAAATGGCTAAGGATGGTAATTGCTTGGAAATTGGACACTTTTTAAGGAAGAAGTAGATCATAATAGAGTAGCTGAGAGTGTCTGAAGGTTAGACTACATTTGAGGTGGCTAACTGAACACCTGTAGTTGCCAGCAACTTAAAGTTCCACTGAAAAATTGATTTATGCCTGTTTTTTATAAAACCTAAGTTGTGTCTCTCTCCCCCTCCCCTCCTCTTCTATTTAGGAATAACCTAATTTACTAGGGCATAATTGTGTTTATGTTGTGTCCCTAAGGATTGTGTAAAGTGAATTTGAATTTTTTTTCCTGTAGCAGTACATCCATTATGGATAGAAGTAGCTTTTTAGATACGGAAAATGTGTGCTTCACTTAAATTGCTCTTCTGAGAACATAGTGCCTTTTTTCTATAATTTAGTCAGCTTTTTATATTGTTTCAGGTTAAACAGAATAAGGAATTTGGCATGATAACTGGCAGTTGCAGCAGAAGCTGCAGCCTGTACTCAAGGTATATGAATGGTAGTTTGTTGAATTTGGGGCTGATTTAATATGTAGGAAGTGTCCTAAGCAGCTTTCTGCAGGGATATAAACTTGTGACAACTGCCTGCCAATGACTGTAAAAGAGGTAAGGACATGAAACTGGATTAGCTTCTCTTCAGACATTTTAGTTAGTTTGTTTTTTTTTTGATGGAGGGTGATGAAGTTTGCTTGACCATGAAATACTTCTCCCTTGAAATGAGGTTCAGCAAGACCTCAAATTCTAACAGAGCATTAATTGATGAGTGTAGCAGGGTAGATACCTGTGGGTGTATCAGGAGCACAGACACGCAGCAGCCGCAGACTTCTGCCCCTGCTGTGTGGTCCCTGGAATTGTCTGGTTTCACTAAGATGCTTTGACAGAAGAATTTCTGAGGCCATGGGCCTTTGCCACTTGGGTGTGAGCATTTACCAAAGTCCATTTGCTGCTGACAAATATTTTTGAAGGGTTGTAGTTGAGGTGGGATTGTGAAGTAGGTAGTTATTACATATGGAGTCAGTACTGGCAGGAAAGTTGTGGGGGATGATTTAATTCTTTCACCAAAACTTTTGTGCTGGTTGGCTACTGGTGAGACTACTTAAAGGATTACTTGCATGCTAAACCTTTAATACCCTTTGCACAAGGTTGGGAGGAGGGGTGCAGAAACTCCTTCCTTTTAGGAAAGGAGAGAATTGGCTCATTTTTAGCCATGGTGTATTTTTCAGATTAACTTTGTCGTATCACATTCCAAATCATGATGTGCTCATTCTGTCTGAATAATATAATTTGAAAGCAGTTATAAAACTGTATTATCTTCGTGAATTTAGCTCTATTTTAAAAATATTTAGTGAAGCCCTATTGGTAAGGTAAGACAAAATGAAACCCATTCCATGGAAAGGTGTTTTTGTGCCGTTTCATCCATGGTTGCTTCAGTCACACAGGGCACATCCAGGGTTCTAAAGATCACTTTTTCAGATGAAGTGTCAGGCTCTTGTTTCTGTATTGCTTTTATGCTGCTGGGTATGAGTTTATTCAAAGAACATGTTATCTGTGCAAGAATTCGCAGCTCCAAGGGTACTGATGTCTGCTTGACCCTTTTCAGTCCTTGGTTTTGTATTGTGGCTCTCACACTAATAAGAGCTGTTTTGAGGTCTGAAACTGTTTTCAGTTTTGGCTGTACATTGTGCATTAAGCAAACAAGCTTTGCTCATATATAACAGCCCTTGGAAGTTTTTGTCAGCTGTTCCTTCTGGAATGATTGTCCTTTTGGCTCAGAGGTGTTTGGGTGCAGTTGCCTGAACTGAGTAAAGGAGGTCTGTGCACATGCATTTGGACTATAATCCTCAAGGCCATCACTATTGTTGGAAAACTGGCTGCAATTGCTTGTTCCTGTAGTGACAAACTGGACATGACCTCAGCTCAAGTCTTTAAAATACAATTTTGTTGTAGTTATAAAACTGCAGTTATAAAGTTTTAAAATCCTCTCTGTCATTAGAAGTAAGTTAAAGAATAATCTAAGAATGGTAGATCTAGTATGCCGCATAGTCTTGGAAAATTGGATAATGCTGATAAGCTTTTGAGAGTGTAAACTCTTTTAGTTGCCTAAACATGCTTTGGAAAGTTGAAAGTTTGTTTCCTAGCATGATCTTAAACCCCTACAGGCACTGTTAACTCTGCTTGAGTTATGTTTGAAAGTCTGCAGGGCTGCAGTGTGAGGTAGGACTGTAAGGGAAGGAGGAGGGGATGTTTGGTTTTATACTTGTTTCCAAAAAAAAAAATCAGTCTCAGTTATACCTCTGGTTTTGGCAGGAAGATTTGGAGTGGGATTCAAAGGAGAAAAGATGAGCAAAGCGCAGGTTGTTGTTGTGAGGGTTTTGGGCAGATAAAACTGAGTACAGTTCTGGGAATATTGCCTTCTGTATCAACCTAAAGATGCAGTGATCTTGTCATTTTTTCTAGGAGGAAAATCAAATTGAAACCCATTTTACTTACAAGATATTTTAAGCTACAGCTTGCCAATATCTATCCTGTTTTAGATGTGACAATGTGCTGAGCACCTTATGAATTAGTTTACATGTGATATTTTAATTCTGTGAGGCTTCAGTTAACAGCTACTCTTTCCTTGGTCATCTTGTTAAATTAGAGATTGAAAGAAGGGAATTGAATCAAGTGGCAGTTTCCAGGAGCTTCAACTGCTTATAAGCATCTGCCAGTAGTAGTAATAACTGTTGGCAGTAATTCTACAATAAAACCTGGGGAAGGGGTTTGATTATTGAAAACACCAGAACTCTGCATTTGAAAGGACAAAAAATATATTGAACAGGAGTTGAGGATTGGGTACTCTGCAAAAATTATTATATTTGAATAAATTGAAAATTTTATTTCCATTTCTGGACTGAATGGAAGTTTCAGTTCCTGCATGGTCTATTTAAAGTCCTTCATAAGCATGAAATAGGTTTTCTTTTTAGGCTTTTACAGCCACGTATGTTGTGCTGTCATGTATGTGTCTGCTGTCCTGCTTGTGGGCTGTGACAGTGTAAGAGCAAAATTATGACACTTCTGCATGATCTGCAGAACATGTACCTGTGGTTCTCCACTGAGTTAATGTCTGTTTGATATTAAATACTTACCTTTATGTTGTGTTCTTTCCCAGCTTTTAGAGCTGTCTCAGGCAGATGCTGTAAATTAACAGAGCTGGAGAGATAAGTTTGCACTTCACCTGTTGCCTTGGATGCTCTGATTTGTACTGAGAAGCATCGTGTTGCTCTGTGTGCAGTGCTGGCTTGACCACTTTGCCCTGTCCTATTTATTCAGAACATGGAGCTGAAATGGCTGCTGTGGGTGACCCTGCTAGCCCTTGGGATCTTTGCTGTCCAGACACATGATACAGATGAAGATAATGAAGCTGATGATGTAGTTGATATTGAGGATGACTTGGATGATGGTATTGAGGATGTAGAAGAGTCAAAGTCTGAAACAAGCAGTGCTCCTCCAGCTCCAAAGGTTTGACATACAATTTCTTTTAACAATTTAATTACTGCTTGTGTTTTGGTTAATGTGAGTCTGATCAGAATTGTCTTTATTTTCTTAACCTGTTGTAATATTATAAAAGATGTTATCTAGGAGTAGGGCTTGGAATTAAGGTTGGCTGCTTTGTTCCTGTTTTCATGTCCCCCATGTCCTTCCAGAAGACTTAGATCTATGCTTGAAATCTGTGATGTGAGTATCAGGAATTAATGCTAAAATTTCCAGTTAGGTATATACTTGAGTTTTAGTTGCAGACAAGAGCACAACAACTTGGCACGAGCAGCAATATTTATGTAATTTCTGTGTTTATGCTTCAAGAATGTCCAGGTGAGCTGTACTTGAATGTAGGAGGGAGTGAGAGCTTTACATGCCTGTATTTCTGTAGAATAAAGAACGTGTCTTGAAAGGTGCATAAATGCCCCCCTTTTCCAATAGGTTACTTACAGGCCCCCTGTCCCAACTGGTGAAGTGTATTTTGCGGAATCTTTTGATAAAGGAACTCTGGATGGGTGAGTATAATCTGAAGGATGATTTGGTACAGCAAATAATGTAAAATCTTGGTGAAAGGCAATGAAACTCTCCCTGCAGAACTTGTGTTATTCAAAACTGAATCCAAGGCCCCTGTTCAGTTGGGATTACAGTAATGACTTCTTGAGGCTAAGTGTTCAGGTGCTGAGTTGAATCAGTATTTCCTTAAGTTCTAGTAATAAAGGGGAGGTGAGGCCTTTACATGTGGCTTTTTTACTTTCCTCAGGATGGTAAGGTGCTACTTCTGGTTTGTTTGTTTTTGTTTGGTTGGTTTTTTTTCAGGAGCGAGGTACTTGCTCATGGGGCCATGGTCCTACCTTGGGGTGGGAAGTAGCAAACACAGAAAAGTTTGCAAGCTTGGGAGCAGAACTCCTCCAGGGATCATGATTCTGGGGTGTAGTCATGAGATAGCAAGGGCTACCTTATCTTAAGGGCAGGATTTTTAGTGTGTGGTGGTGGGAAATAACGGTTTTCCAACTATTGGATGCCTGTCTTCTAGATGGGTCCTTTCCAGAGCCAAGAAAGATGATACAGATGATGAGATTGCCAAATATGATGGTGAGTCCAACCCAGGTTTTGGATTATAAATGTTTCTGAATGCTGTTTGTCTGTATGAAAAAGAGGTGCAAATCTTTATTTTCTGTTTCTCAGCTAAAATTATATTCGCTGAAGAAAATGAGAGGGATGTTCATATACCTGGCTAATAATATAAAATGTAGTTCTGATTTAAACAAAATATCCACTTGGAGATTTTAAGATAAATGTGTGTTTGGTCAATTTCCTCCCCAGGTAAGTGGGAAGTCCAAGACATGAAGGAAACAAAGCTTCCAGGAGACAAAGGGCTTGTAATGGTAACCCGAGCCAAGCATCATGCAATTTCGTCCAAACTTTCCAAGCCATTTGTGTTTGATACCAAACCCCTTATTATACAGTAAGTAAAGAATAATTTGATGTTCTGTTGATTCCAGGGTGACATGATATCAAGCTGAGGTTAACTCCATAACTGAGCTTTTGCTGACTGGGGGTCTAGATGACACAAGATACTGTAACATATTATTACACTGTTTTGAGTAAGAGTAAAATAGTAACACAGATTCCAAAGTGGGGAGTTAGTAACAGCATAGGTCCTTCTGAAGCCTGGAAAAGGAAGAAGAAGTCTCTGCAAACTAGTCTTGGTAACCTGTCTTGTGGCTTCAGTTCACTTGATTTAATTGTGGTAACAAGGTCAGGCAACTGACTTTTGTACTGCTAATTGTGGAAGTCCTTGTCCTTTTGAAAGAATGCTGGTCTGTAAGTAGGTCAGTGCACTTTCTTGTACAGTAAACTGCCCCCTGTTACTGAGAGGAAGTGAACAGAGGGGTAAAGATGCATTTGTTTCCTCCTTCCTGTGTCTTAGTTCATTTGCCGTGGAAGATGAACAGCTTACATAAGTCACAACTGTTGTAGATGAATCTATTTGCAGGTGTGTTAGACTAACAAGCCAGGGGAAAAGCATAATGCAGTGAGAGCACTTGAATTGTGCACTATTAGTGATGTTATCAATTTTAAACAAAGAATAAATTAATTTGTATTTGCACAAGATAATGAATTGATCACTTTGCTTTGCACTGTTTAGTTTTGGTTCAAAATACAAGGCTAAAAATAAAGCCCAGTGGTCATCCAGTCCAGCTGCTGGCATTGTGAGAGGATCAAGCACGCTGAGCTTATTCCTGACAGAGATGTTTTGCCTTTTTCAGGTTGCTTGGCATCCCTAAATACTGTTGTATGCTTATAACCCTAAAGGGGCTTCTCCTAAAATCCAACTGATTTTGCTTTGTAGTCTTGCAAATTAAGTTGTCTGTTTACTGTAGTAGTTGTGGAGAAAAGAATTGGTTTGCCTCAATCCCTGTTGCAGTGTCATATACTGGAAAGCTTTTTCTTCCTCCTCTCTACTTCTAGGTCATTAATGTCTAGGCCAGCACTCAATTTCTTTAATCTCTTCTGTCAGGTTAATTCTTCTAAATCTTCAATTTTTTAACTGTTTCTCAGGCTCTTGTGAATATTTTCTTAGTCCTCATGTCTTTATGTAGCTGTATGATGGTATCTTAAGTATTCACTGGGTAAGTGATTTAAAGCAAACAACAACAAAGCAGTGTTACTGTTAATTTGTACTGACAAAATTGTAATTGTGTATTACAAAAATAATTTTTCCTAATGTATAACATGTGCTCTCCTCTCTTCTATCCAAAACTAAAATTAGGTATGAAGTAAACTTCCAGAATGGAATAGAGTGTGGTGGGGCCTATGTGAAATTGCTTTCAAAAACCCCTGAGTTGAACCTGGTGAGTAATGCTCCTACTTTTGGGTATTAGCTGAGAAAGAACTTGAAGCTTTTTCACTTTGCTTTTTTCTGAAGAAACCTTTTTAGTGAAGGCGGTGGGGCCTTCACTTGATTGCCCAAGTACTTTGCACTCAGCATTTTCCCAGTGCTTTCAGTTGGAGTGGATAAGTATTGAAATGTGACGGCACTTGAGTGGAAACTGAAGTTCCCTAATAGCTGAGCAGTTGTAGACCTTTGCCAAACTCTGCAGTACTTCAGATTTTCCTGGGTTCTGGAATGAAAAAGGAGGTGTTTAGGAGAGTGGCCAGCTCCTAAGGCCTAAGAACTGCATTTTGTCCTCTCAGAAGTGGTTTAGCCTGTTCAGATGAAGCTGAATGCTGGGTAACCTTGCATAGGCTCTTGTAGCCTATGGCTTTTCTTTAGCCATTTTCCTAGACTTTATAAGATGTACCTTTTATGACTTGTTATCCATGCTTCTTTTTTTCTGCAGTCTTATTGGAGTTGTATTATTAATACAATTTCCAAACTATTAAAAAACTCCAAAACAACCACAAACACCCAGAACACAACGTGGCTGCCTAATCAGTTTCATATGTGCACTGAATTTTCAGGTAACATTAGCAAGAACAAACAAACAGACTTGAAGAGTTCAGTGATGATTATATCTAGTTAGAGCTTAGATTAAGGCATACCCCAGTTCATAAGTGTAGACTAAATGCAGCTTTGCTTCACTTCTAGTGCTGCTTATCACTTTGTATGAAAGAAACTCAGTGGCCTTGCTAGCCTTTCATTATTGCCAGCAGCTGATACTTCTAATTGATAGCTTTTAAAATACTTCTTAGAGATATGTTTAAACGTTGTGGGTGTCACACTAATATTTTGGATAATACCTGAATAGCTGGTGTTTTCCATGTGGAAAGTGAAGCTCAAAGGTGCAAAATTAAATAGCTGGGATAGTTCTTTGCATGTTATTTTTTCTGGAGGCTTATATGAGGAACATAGGCTTTGTGTGGAGACTTCATGGGCTTGATATTCAGGTTGCAGAATAGTTTTTAATGAATTGGGAATTCTTAGGCCAGACAATGGCTTAAGTTGTATTTCAAAATAATGGAGTGAGATATCGTGTTGTTTTATAGGATCAGTTCCATGACAAAACTCCATATACAATAATGTTTGGCCCTGACAAATGTGGAGAGGACTATAAATTGCACTTCATCTTCCGGCACAAAAACCCAAAGACTGGCAAATACGAGGAAAAGCATGCAAAGCGCCCAGATGCAGATCTGAAGACCTACTTTACTGATAAGAAGACTCATCTTTATACTCTAGGTATGGTGGCTGCTAACTATGCATATTAATAATTACTACATCTTCTGCAGCAGAAGCTCAAAGTGAGCCAGATGAACAGGTGAATATTTGTGCCAGTGCACCATACCACTAAAAACCACTTGAAAGCTTCAAATGCAAAAACTGATTGTCTGTGCAAAGGCTTATTTCATCCTTCCAGGAAGTCTGGATTCATGTAAGAGAGGTCATGTGACTTGAACTTAATACTTAAAGGAGAACTGCATTTCAGGGCTGTTTTAAGTAACTTGAACTAAGTCTATTTGAAATAATTATCAGCATATATAAATTACCTGAATGCTGCCTCTGGGTAACATGGGGTACACTAAGCTTTAGATGTGGAGGCATCGTAGTTTGTTTTAGTTTTATTTGGGTTTTTTTCTGCTTTCATGTACCAGACAAACTCAAGGGTTCTTGAAATAGGATATTTCTGGTATATTAGCTATGATCAAAATCTTTCAGGAAGTACTTAGGAGTGTCTCTGTCTTTTCCTACTACAGAGACAGCAGTAGATAAAGAAGTGAGATTAAAATCCTGTAAGTCAGTAGTAGGAAGTCTTAGTCTGGAGTAGAATATGAGTATATACATTCTTACTACTAAAGCAATACTTCCTGTGCCAAAGTCAACTTGTTGTGGTAACTGCTAAATCACTTTACAAACCTCCATGCTTTTAACACACGTAGGACTTCTGCCAGGAGTCTGCCTTCTCACAGGGTGAGATGTGGTGCATCATCACTAGTTGCACTTTGGTGTAAGGAGAAAGGTTCTTAGCAGTTCTTTAAAACAGTTGATGGGTAGGTGGTAGCTTGGGTTGTACAGTGGGGAAGAGTGATGCTTTATGACTCATGCTTTGTGTAGTACATGCAATGACTACATCAACTTTTTTCCTTACAGTCTTGAATCCTGACAATAGTTTTGAGATACTGGTTGATCAAACAGTTGTCAACAGTGGGAATTTGCTAAATGATATGTCACCTCCTGTGAATCCACCCCGAGAGATTGAGGACCCAAATGACCAGAAGCCTGAGGACTGGGATGAGAGGCCAAAAATCCCAGACCCAGATGCGGTTAAACCAGATGACTGGTAAGGTGTTGGAAGGGTGGAATTGAGGGAATCCTTAGCCCCATAATTTTGTCCTGATCAAAATTAGTAGTAGTACTTTGCAGTTAGTACCTTGATATGCCATGAGGCACATGTGTTAGGATTGCAAGGCAATTCCTTTCAGAAATCATGGAGTGACCCTGACAGAAGGGAAGGTGGCTGGCTGTCTAGAGCAGTGGGCTTGTTCAGAGTCTGTAGAATCATGCCTTGGGCTTAAGAACTGACATGTTGTCTACGTTAACACATAATGATCTGCCCTCAAGGGATGAGGATGCTCCTGCAAAGATTGCGGATGAAAATGCTGTGAAACCAGAGGGCTGGCTGGATGATGAGCCAGAGTATGTAGCAGACCCTGATGCTGAGAAGCCTGAAGATTGGTAAGTTTGCTACCTCTTGAAAATGGCAGCAATTATTTCATTACTTTGGTACTGACATTTGCAGTCCATTGTTGCTTGCTGACAAAGTTGCTGTTCAGGCTATTTTTCTTCAAAAGTAGAAGGCAGTGGTCTGAGGACTCATGTTCTGTATTCACCTCCACATTTTTCAACTCTTCTGCGACTGTAAACAGAACAGGGCAGGGATGTTCACCTTGAAGTAGAACCTACTTGGAAGTGGCAGCAGGGGAGACTGTGCTCAGGGTCTGGCTTTTGTTGATCTGTGCTTCACAGTTAGTCTTTGAAATCCTTGTTCCTTCTGCAGTATATTTATCTACAGACTTATGCTATACAAAGTTTGTGTCTTCGTTTAGTGGTAGGAATTTAGATTTTCCCAGAAATTGGACATTGTCTGAGCCTTATTCTGTATGAAGGCAAGGGATGGACTTCAAAACTGAGTTTGCCTTTTCAGGGATGAAGATATGGATGGTGAATGGGAGGCACCTCAGATTGCAAACCCTAAATGTGAGACAGCTCCTGGCTGTGGTACCTGGCAGCGCCCAATGATTGACAATCCAAACTACAAAGGCAAATGGAAGCCTCCTATGATTGATAACGTGAACTATCAGGTTTGTGTTTTCATTGCTTAAGCTGGTGACTGATAAAGCATCTCTCTCACAAAAAGCAGAATGATTTAGATTCAGCAGGTGTAATTAGAAATTCAAGTGCAGTCATGACTGTGCTGTGTTTCAAGTGGACAGACTCAAAATGCTTTCTTACCAGGCATCACTTCATTGTATTGATTCCCAAAGATTGATGAGTTGCACCTGTAAATGTTGTAATTAAGTGCAATGGATTGTTATATCTCTCCATTCATAATGGGCTGAAAACTAAAATTTGTCTTCTAGTAGATGAGGCTCAATGTCTTTTGTCATTTCTAGGGTATATGGAAACCTAGAAAGATCCCAAACCCAGATTTTTTTGAAGACTTGGAACCTTTCAAGATGACTCCTGTCAGTGCTGTGGGACTTGAGTTATGGTCCATGACATCTGACATCTTTTTTGACAACTTTATCATCTGTACTGATAGAGCTGTGGCTGATGATTGGGCCAGTGATGGATGGGGACTGAAAAAAGCAGCTGATGGTGCTGCAGAGGTGAGAGAGGAAGGTTTAATTGTGTGCTGTGAAGTGGAACAGTAGAAGCACTTCTGCTGTTCTCTCTCAGCTTTTGTCAATATATACGTGTTTGTGCTAAGGCTGAGGGTTTTGTTAAACCAGGTGGGAGCCTCCATTCATAATTACAAGATGTTAATGGTTGCTATAGGTAATTAAGAGTACTCACTGCTCTCTTCTGAGTTTTTGCTCTGATATTTGGACTGTTTAGCCTAATTCTTAATTTTTAAGCTATGGGAAAAGTACTTCTGCAGGTTAGCTTTATGATTTTTTTTCTTTTTTGAGATCTGAAATACAATGTTTAAAGTTGCAAAAAGCCTGTTAGAAAATTTTGTAGCTTAAACTTAGCTGCTAGCTTGCTGCATGAGGTGGAATTTGACAGTTCTTTTGGTCTTACAGCCTGGTGTTGTGGGCCAGATGATGGCAGCTGCTGAAGAGCGTCCCTGGCTTTGGGTAGTCTACATCCTCACTGTGGCTTTGCCAGTATTCCTTGTTATCCTTTTCTGCTGTTCTGGGAAGGTAAATGCATTTCCTCTGATAATTAGCCTCATGTTTAAAAGGATGTTCAGTAAAATGTGCCTAAATGTCACAATTAATTGCCTGGGTTTGTCATTGTCTTTCAGAAACAGCCAAGTGCTGCAGAATACAAGAAGACTGATGCTCCTCAGCCTGATGTGGTGGATGATGAGAAAGAAGAAGAAAAAGATAAAGGAGAAAAAGAAGAGGAGGAGGAAGAGGAGGATGCAAATGAGGAAAAGCTTGGTAGGTAAACTAGATAATCTTGAATGATGTTCTTCCTGATGGAAAAAAACAGTAGGATTGGCAGATACGGAATAAAGCCAGTGGTGAACTGAAGATAAGTCGGGAAGGATAACGTTTTTTGGCGTTTTTTAATTTTTTTTTCCCATTTTCCCTTGAAGAGAAGCAGAAAAGTGATGCTGATCTAGGAAGTGCTAGTCAAGAGGAGGAAGAAGAGGAGGAGGAGGAAGACAGGAAACCTGCATCAGAGGTAAGTGCCTAATCTTTGAAGGAAGCTTATGCATTTTCTTTCATAGGTTGTGTAGAACTGGCCCTTCTACACTGTTAAAAGTTAACCTGGCTCATGTGACTCTCCCTCCCAGTTCAGAACTTTAGAAAACTTAATCCCCCTGAAGAATAGGAATTGCTGTGGCTGACTTGAGCAGGTTTGGGACCCTGCTAAAAGCACTGCTGTAGCCCCTGCCTTGAGAGGGGAGTTGGGACTGTTGGAAGCAGCTTCTTGAGGCAAAAGGCTTACTCAGTGTGACCTTAAGTGCTCTACACTGGCACAATGACTCAAAAATGGCTGGAGTGTTGCTTGAAGTTAAAGGATTCTCCCAGCAAGCAGGAGCTGTTGAGCACTCCCAACAAATGGTGTACATCCACTGTGAAAACAAAGAATTTGCCTGTTTGCCACAAAGTCCTTTCAGCAGTAGGTCCTTTCAAAAACTGAATTCTAACGTAGAAGTGAAAGTAGATTATTTTTCATGGGTTTTCTCAAAATGGTTATGAAGGGTATATTTAGGTTTTATTTTATTGATGTTTACACAAATTACTTTCTTGCAGGAGGAAGAAACTGTGAATAGATCACCCAGAAACAGAAAGCCAAGGAAAGATTGAAAAAAGTCATAAGAACTTGATCTGTGATTTCTTTTTTTTTGTTGTTGTTTTCAAACATGGTTCTGGGAGAGGACCTTGGACACCTTACATTGAAACTTGGACAAACCTCAAGATTTCACCATCCACAGGTTCCAGTCACACGATCCAATGTAATGGAGTGTCTAGCAGTAAAATATTTGCAATCATCTGTTTTAAAGAGCATCATTCCTGTAGAAAGAAAGCATTTAATATAATGGGCTGTGGATTTTGGAATGTAACATAACTAACCTTTTCATTTTTGGTTTTAAATATTCTTTTCTCTTCTTAAGTAGATTGGTAGAATTTTTCCAGTCTCAAACCTTGGCTTAATTTAATATATTAATTAGTGAAATATAACGATGAATCTTGAAAGTGCTAGGTGATAAAAATGCAGTTTTATAACTAGTTTTTTTTACAGATATGTAAATTCCTAAATGCACCAATGTCTTTATACCCCAAAAATGTGGTAATTGTTCAAAGCAAAGTTGTCAATGCATTTGACAGCACCCCTGCCCTCAAAAGAAAAGACAGCTGGAGGGAGATGTACGGGGAGACCAGTAGTGAAACTCTCTAATCAATCAACTTCATTCTTTTGGGGGGAGGGAAAAGAGGAAGAAGGGGTGGAAGGGAAGGGGTTAGGCAGTCTATAAAATATATGCATACTGTGCATGGCTAAAGCCCTGTTAAATGTTGACAAACGATCTAGGATTTGGAGTGGGTCATCTTAACGTGGCATTTAATCCTGCAGATCTTGCAGACAACCAGGTTTATTTGTTCTTGAACTCTTTGTAAAGCTGAGGGTTGCTGGGGAGGTGTGGTTAGGCTACTTCCCCCTTTGCCCTCTGTTCAGCCACCGGTGTTTTCCTCTGTGACGATACAGCTCTTCCTGAGAGCAGCTTTGCCTCAGTTGCTGGAGCACTTCATGTTCAGCTCATTGTCAAACTCGATTTCATAGCTAGACCTGCTCCTTTCCAGGGTCCAAACACTGAATAAGACAGTGTCCCATATCCTCTCGCTGTTGTCACTGTATGTCTGCTGTAGAAATGGGGGAGGTAGGCAGGTAAACAAGTTGAACTGAGTATTTGTTAGGGAAAAAAAACCACAACCAAGATGTCAGTATTGTAGGTGGGGAAGGAGCATGTGGAATCTCTTAACTGGTATGTGAAACTGTTTAAGTCCTTTTATCTGCTCTTCATGTAACAAGTGCATTCTAAATTATATTGTGAATGTTAGGAAATTCCAATTCCAGCTGAATAAATTTTTTTAAAGTGTTGAGTCTACCATACTACACTGTTTCAAACACCTTTTTTTTTGTGGAATGCAGGTGAGCACTACAAGAGCATTACCTCTGAGGGTGAGATGGATGTAATTCATTACACTGTACCAAATATGTTTGCATTTGGATGTCTATGTAGATAAACTTTTGCCTTTGTTTAGAATGAAATTAAATGTCATGAAATTATTCTTCTTGCACTGAACTTAAACACTCCAGTGTTTGGTCATATGATAGGTATAGTGTGTGGAATAGTTCCCAGGGGTTGTGGGGGGGAAGAGTGTTCCAATTACCTTGCAAACAATCTAACCAATTACTAAAAGACTCTTGTTTTGGGGTTGGTTTTTGGTTGTTTTTTTTTTGTAAAACAGCTTTTGCTTCCTGTCCTTATGTTGTATCCCTTGGTTGTTGTGTTTGAAATATTAGTGATCACAAATGCATAGCAGGATTTCTTGATCTCGCTGCAGTGTACAAATAAACTATTGTAAGCAAGATACTGGAAGTAATTTCAGACTTCTGTTGGGAGCTATTGCATGTTTAGAATGCCTTTGCCTGTTGAACACCTGGTCAATACTGCTCCTTATTGCAAAAATAGCTTATACTCTGACATGGAAGATGTCATAGCTTAAGCATTGCTACTAGCTTGTTCTCAGGACTGTATTTTTATCAAGGAGCAGCTGCTATTTGACTCTCAGTCCTTTGAGATGAAGTATATGTAAATGGTTTCAATTCAGCTAATGTTTTGAGCACAACACAAGTCTAATTAATCTAATGGTTTTTTTATCTTAATATGCAAATTGCCTTAAACTCCCAAACAATCCCTGTGCATACATGTTCTTTCAAAGCATCAAAAAGTGAACTTGAGATCTGCTATCAGCTTTTAAATTGCATTATATTAAAGCTAATTGTAAATCTACATTTGCTTCTGCTAATTCTCCTGAAAAAGTCCTGTCTGCATGTTATGGCTTTTTTTGATACCATAGTGTATGCTTTAAATAATCACTACAATAAATGAAGACTTTCCAAAATGGATAGACAAGTTACTTTTTAATCCTATCCTGCTTTCTGGCTTGGGTACCTCAGTTTGACCTTAGAATTGCTCTTATTTTTAAAGTCTTGGAGGAAAAATACAGCTACCTGCTTATCCTCAGTGCATGAAGCATAGCTGTGGTTTTTAGAGTAGTGAAACTCCACCTGGCTGTAACCTGTGAGCTGTGTTTGGAACTGTTACAGGTCCTGAAGGTGTATTTGGGCCTTTTGTGTCTGTGCAGCCAAGGGTGGCAGCTCTTGACAAGGACGCTGAGCTTGGGGTGCTGTGTCTGACGAGGGGGGTGTGAGGCTGGCATGGCGGATCAGAACAAAACCCGTGGGCTGTGACACACAAGGCAGAAGTGCTGAGAGCAGCTTTCCTCCTGCAGCCAGGGCAGCTGTAGGTCAGGGTGCCTCTAACCCACTAACCCCTCCGTGCGTGTCCCTGGGTGTGCTCTCCCCTCGCTGGCTCTGCTCGGTACTGAATTGTCACAGCTTGAGCCTGTGACCTCTCTACTCCGTTATGAAGTCTGATTTTGCGATTGACTCCCGGACCTGAGGAGGGTTCCTTGCAAGTAGTGACTGCTTGTACACGTCCATGGTTTCCTCTGGCTCCTTCCTTACTCCTCCCTCACAAACTCAGCTCCTCCACCGAGGCTGTGGGTACAGACGTGGGGCTTGTGACTGCTCTGCTCATCCCAAACTGATGCTTAATACCCCTCTTGCCTCATGGTTTGTGAAAGGGGTTTTTGGTTGATTGGGTTTTTGTTTTGGTTTTTTTTTTTCGGTGTTGCTGGACACAACTACTGCGATTTCATGTCCATTTCAAACAGGTACTTGTAGAAGCAACTTGAAAAAAAAAATGTAAAAACTAATCAATAAAGAAACTTAAATCTGGTTGGCTTTCTTTGTTTAATTAGCAAAGCTGGATCAGTTTTCATCAGGGTGAGGGTGCGGTGACCCGTACCTCGCGGTTTTTGCCGCGGCAGGGCCGAGCGGGGCCTGCAGCGGTGCCCGGGACACGGGGCCGGGCCGGGCTCCGCTCCAGCAGCCCGCCCCCTGTCAATCACCTGCGGCTCCGCCTCCCGGCTCTTGATTGGCTGAGCCGCCGTCGCCCCGCCCCTCCCTACCTGTTCCTTTAAACCGCGTCGAGCGCCGCCCCCAGCTCGCCTCCGCTGCTTAATTCGCGCCTCCGCGCCCTTCTATTGGCTGCGAGGGGCGTCGGTCACGGCTCGTGACGCGCCGCGCGCCGTGACGTACCCCCCCACCCAGGAAGCTCCGCCCATTTATTCTCAACTCGGCTCTGGAGGGGAAAAACAATTTCAAGATGGCGGCGGCGCGGACAACAATGGGGGGCCGGGGGTCCGGGCCGGCCCGCGCCTGAGGGCGGCGGCGGGGGGAGCGCGGCGGGCTCCGCCGGGCCCCGCGAGGCGGGCAGGGCTGAGGGAGAGCGGGGCAGCGGAGCGGCGCCGAGCTCGGGGCAGAAGGAGGAAGTGAGGCGGGGGGGAGAGGAGCGGGCGCCGGGCCGGGCGGGGGGAAGACCCGGGGCGATCCCGGCGGGGAGCGCAGGTAAGGCCAGCGGGAGGGGCGGCGGCGGCCCCGCCATGGCGGGCGCCGGAGCGAGCAGCCGGTGAGCGGCGGCGGCCGCCCCTTCGCCGCCCGGCCCATGGTGCTGCCCCCCTGCCCCATGGCGGAGTTTGTGGTGCCGCGGCACAGCGCGGTGATGGAGCGGCTCCGCCGGCGCATCGAGCTCTGCCGGCGGCACCACAGCGCCTGCGAGTCCCGCTACCAGGCCGTGTCCCCGGAGCGCCTGGAGCTGGAGCGCCAGCAAACCTTCGCCCTGCACCAGCGCTGCCTGCAGGCCAAGGCCAAGCGGGCCGGCAAACACCGGCAGCCGCCCCCGGCGCCGCCGCCGCCCGCTCCCCCTCCGCCCGCCGCCGCCGCGGGGAGCGCCGAGAGGAGCGGAGCCAACGGGCTGGACGGCGAGGCGGCGAGCGCGGAGCAGCAGCACGGCCGCAGCAGCGCCCTGATCGCGGTAAGCGCCGCCCGGGGCCGGGTGCTGGGGCCGGGGAGGGACCGGCGGTCGTGCCCGGCTGGCACCGGGACCTCTCGTTTGGGGCTGCATGGGGGAAGGAAAACAAGCTGTCGCGGCTGCTGTGGTGGCCTGCGGTGCGAGGGCTGCTTTGCAGAGTAGCCTGTCTGCTGTGTTACAACTTCGCAGCCGGTAAGGGCTGTTTTGTTTTCGCTCGTCACCTCTGCACGCTGGAAGAGTATATAAAAACTGTGGCGTGGTGGGGTAGGGGTAGTGGCAGGATTTCTGTGGTGCTTAAATAATTCAGAGTAATTTGTGAATCATATTTCTGGCTAATTTACCTAAAATGCCCCTGCAGAAACTGTTAGAGGGGTATTAATACTGTGGTGCCTTTGGATTTTTGTTTGCTTGCTTGTGTCTTCGGTTTGGGGTGTCAGGGTTTTGTGGAGTCATTTGATAAGGATATGCTTATTACTGGGGGGGAGTTTTAAGACAATGTGTCTGTTAATTGTGGTTCATATTGGAAAGAATTTCAGTGGAAAGGCAGCTGCTTGTTTGCCGCTCACTCTAGTGGGTGTGAACACTATGAGAATCCCACTCCACCCATTAAAAACTGGCTTAGCTCAAAATCTTAATGTTTCTCTGGCTTCTCTAGCATTTCTGGTTGTCGGGACATATTCACATAGTCCTGTTTGTATATCAAGATAGCTATTGCTTAACTTATTCTGGGCCCTTTAAATATACTGCTGTGTGCTAATGTGTCAGTAATGTAGGTTAGTAGGATAACCTCTTAAAGGCTGCCTGTCCTAATACCTGTCTGTCTTAAAATCAGGTATCTTTAAATGGTGGCCTGCATGAAAATGATTCAGTAGCACTCTGAGTGTGTTTAAAAGGGGACACTGGGTTAAACAAAGATATTCCCAGGTTAATATATAGAGTAAATAATATTTTTAGGGTGCACTGTGTATTTGATTGGATTAGAAAGGAAGGAGGATATACTCCTCTCTGTCTTGGACCTCATTTACTGTTTATAAAATAGAATCACGATAGAGCTTTTATGTGTGCTTGAGTGTCCAGGACATAATGTGAAATACTGAAACACGGGGTTTATCGATGTCATCTTTACTGTGACCAGCACTAGGCAGCCTGGGTGCAGTTTGTAGTCTTTACAAGATGAACTGAAAGTGTTACTTGACTGAATTGTTTCTGTTCTTGCTAATACACCTATGAGACTCGAGGACTTGCTGACTGTTGAGAAGACTGAGGTCCTTGTGACACAGTTAGAGCACTTCAGAGGGCTGCTACAGAAGAGTACTTGAGGAAGAGGGGAAACCTTGAGCATTCCTGACACTGATTCTACAAAACTTTACAGTTAGCTGTTGTTTAGCAGACTGATCTTGAATGTAAACTTGTGTCAAAACAAAAATTACTCAAACTTGTTTCTTATTATCTAAAACTTTGGTGGAGGTTCTGTTTATTTCCTGCTGGGCTCTTGGGCTTTTTGCATATGGGGCTCTACCCCTTAATAATGTGTATTTTCATTACACTCCAGGCTCTTTAGCATGTCAAATCCTGTTGCTTAAACTGCCACCACACGACTTCATATTGATCTTCTGAAAGAGAGATCTCTCTAATTCATTGGTGTTGTTTCTCTTAAATCACTTTGGATGTGGATTTGATCTAATTAGCATCCATTATAATGAGGGCTCTCAACAGCAGCAGGTTCTGAAGTGCACTGCACATCTTGGGGGAAGCCCTTGTACAGGAAGCTGCTGCCAGTGGCCAATTTACACAACAGAAGAGGGGTTTAGTGTATGAATGACTCTTCCTTGGGCTGGCCTGCTGTTTCCTTCCTAGGATCCATGACTGTGAGCTTAATTGCAGCTGCTGATTCATCACCTTGTTACTGGGGTATAAAGTTGGTTTGCTTAGTAATTCAAGTCTTGGAAAA